CCACCGCCCCCTGGCCCTCGTGGTCCTCCCTCTTTGAACCCACCTCCAGTACGAGGCTCCGAACGATGGGCTAACACATGGTCGTCAGCCCAGGTGGCAGCCTCCTTCAGCGTTTTGAAACGCTTCTCCCTGAGGAGAGGCACCAGTTCCTTGTCAGCAGCATTTATGAACTGCTCCATAACCATCAACTCTTCCAGGGCGCGTTGAGAATCCACTTCCTCACTCCTGATCCATCTCTTAAAGACCTGCTCTAAATGGCGAGCACACTCGAGGTAGGAATCACCAGGTCTCTTCTTCCCACCTCTGAACCTTAGGCGATAGGCTTCGGGCCGCAGCTCGTAAGCCCTCAAGATGTCAGCCTTAAAGTCCTCGTAACTTTCTAGGTCTTCCGCCGACATATTGTCGTATGCCTCCAATGCCCTACCTTTCAGCTTATTGGCCACGAGGCCAACCCATCTTTCTCCTTGCCATCCGAACTCAGCCGCCTTCTTCTCGAATCTTCGGAACCATTCTGCAACCTTCTGCTCGTCAAAGTCAGGGATGAGCTGCAGACTCCTTACCATCTGGCGCTCAACTGTATTCCCCTCTCCTTCTCCTCCCTTATGAGTTGAGTTAGCCCCCAGTCTAGATCTTTCCCACTCAAAATCTCTGTTCTTCTCTACCTCCAACCTTCTAACTTCCAGGTCTAACCTTCTCGCTTCATTTCTCTCTTCAGCTTCTAATCTTCTAGCCTCTCTTCTCTCTTCAACTTCTAACCTTCTCGCTTCATTCGCGGCTTCTATCTCCATCCTCTTCATTTCTAATTGGAATCTCAATTCCTCCGCCATTCCGACGGACTGTAGACTGCCAGCAACACTAGCAGCTGGGCTCACTCTCCTTGAACCCATCATGTTCTGAACAGAACCAACACGGCCCGTTGTATGCTGCAGGAGCTGTTCAGACCCTTCCTGAGCAAACTGCAAACTTCCTGTAGTGCTATGCTCACTACCAGGACTAACAGGCCTATCTTCACCTAGGCATGGCTGTTCAGTAACGCCACGTACAGGGCTGGCTCGAGCCGAGCCATCCTCGAGGGGAGTAAGTACATCACGTCTGTCTTCCATCGTTACAGTGTGTGTGGACTCACACTAACAACACACTAACACTATTTTCTACTCACTGTAATTCTTTAGAATCCTGGCGAGGTCGCCAAAATGTTACGGTTTGAGGCCTCACACACGGTCGTCCACCGTGTCAAACCGGGCACGGTTCTTATGCCCTAGTGCTGGGGGTTCACTTATGAACAACCCAGTCACAACCACGTTGCGGGCGTGTACGAACTGTTGTGCTGATGTTTAGTCGACTATCCCGTAGGACTAATCACTCCGAGGGCCACACGCCGGCAGCTGGACAACAGGCTATACGCAGAAATACCC